CAACACATTCTTTTGTGCATATTATAAAACAGAAAAGTGGGAAATTTTTTTATGCATTTTCGATATCCAAATAGTGCAGGTACCTCTGACTCTGAGAGCATCTCCACTAGAAGATAGAATGTCACTTATTATGTCATTACATTCACTTCCAATAAAATGTTATATATTATACAAAATTAAATTTTGTGTGTGTGTGAGAGAGAGAGTGAGAGAGAGGAACACTGTCCATTTCTATAATGGGATAGGATGCTGGTTAAACTTACATCATCAATGTGAGCCTGAAGAGTAGCCAGACGATTCCTCTTTGACTCTACTTTCATAGCCTTCTCAGATGACTGTTGCTGGAGAGATATCAACTCTTCCATTTTCCCCATGGAACTCTTTTTCATCTCATCTTCAAAGGATGCAAGAGTGGGCTTTAATGTTTTTTTGTAATTTATACCTAATACCTTCACTGGTGAGGACCCTTGGGGATTCAATTGATACTGAAATTCATTTCCAAGCTTTAACCTGAAATTTCAAATGAGGCTATTTGTTGTCAGAGTCATTGAAGAAATGATGACGAGCAACAAGTAGAAGGAAAGTTCCACTGCAAACCAGAGAAAACATACAAAACTATATTTGCTCAATCTCACTTTGACTGATCTAGCTTCAAACTTACAATATTAACCCCTCCCAAGTTATGATCTAAATCATCAAATTGTAAAAAATTTGTTCCAACAGTTCAATCTGATAAGCTATGGAAAAGAATAGAACTTTTCAAGCAGCAACACGAATGCACAGTAATCTGACAAATGATTATTTCATAGAGACACTCTCACAAAAAACTTTTTTACTGTGTGGCATTGGGTATCTTGGTACATGCTTTGGCCAAATTTAAAAAGTGTATCATGTTAGATAGAACATATGATCCACCTGTACTTTACACAATTCAGATATGTTCACCCAGAAAAAATGGAAGTAATACAAAGGTATCTGAAAAGTTCAGGTGGTTATACAATAGAAACAAGGGTCTAAATCTCTCAGATGATGGGCGAGAAGTAAGTCTATCTAGAAGAAGAAATTTGTTTTATTTTCCTAGTTACACGAAAGGAAGACATGTATAAGGTTAGGCAAAACAAAGAAACAACAAAAATAACATCAACAATTGCCGCATAATTCAACAATAAAATAAATAAGATTATAAAACATGAATAAAGAATAAAAAATACTCTTCATGAAGGACTGTCGTATTGCTGTAAATACAAAACTCAATTCCAACATAGCACTTCCAGTCAAGCAAGATACATCTACTTCATGCAGAGACTACAACAGTGAAGGATGAATTTTACTTAAAGAAATAATAGTGTATCGACCCATTGATAGAATTAAAAACTGAGGCATGCTGCAACCTTAGTTTCTAACGGGAGTGATTGGAAAAACTAAATTCGAGAATCTTAGCATTATTGCCTTGTGACTAGCATGGTGTTCCTCATTCATATCTCAAGTCAAAGTTTAGTGGAACAGCACTACAACAATGGGCTAAATTGTGATTCTCATATATCACTGTAGCTAACAATTCACTACCCATTAGAGAAAGAAAGGCATGTTTTTGAAAGTTAGTGAATCAATTAAAACTCTGAGAAGCACAGATAGAAAAACAGTTTATATAGAACTTTCAGCAAATTGCATTTCCATTAATCTGTCACCTAAATTATCTGCTGAGAACCCATTATAGAAGCAATCTAACCGTAACATGTTGTAACGACCACTTCTACTTAAGTGAATGTTAATAGAAACAATCAATTGAGGGAAAACAATAGAATGTCCTTCCAATCTTATCTTAGTACTCATATTCTTATAGCTTTAGTCCAACTAAAATAGCACAGCAATGCAATATATCCATGCCCATAAAACAACAAACACTTATATTACGAAAAAATATTGTATCTCATTCTGTTAAATGGAAAGTAAGACACTCTTATTTCAAACAACAATAAATAACAGGAGAGGGAATGACAACCTCCTGATAGATTGGTTGCACTCGATCATTAGCTCCTCAAGCTTCTTGTACATGTTCCCGATCGCAGAGTCGAGGTCCCAAGTCTTCTCCTCCCATTCAATCCTCTGGTTCTCAATATCCCCAATATCCCTTTCCAAAGCATGCAACTCCCTCTTCATCCTATCTGCATCCCTGGAATTAATCCCTTGTTCCTCCACCCTCTTCTTCAACTCCTCATTCTCTGCACAAATGCTCTCTTTCTCCGTAACCTTAGTCTCTAACCCTTTTTCTTTCTCTTCCACCATCTTATCCATTTTCACTATATGCCCTTCTAACTGTTCAATGATAGCCTGAAACTTCTTGACATCTTCCTCCAACGCACTCTTCTCCTTCTCCAACGTCTCTCTTTCCGATGGTCCTGTCTTCATTGCTTCCAACTTCTCCTCTTGAGCCTTCACATTCTCCTCCAAGACATTCACATTCTCAACCAACCGCTCCTTATGTTGTTCCAACTCTTGCATAAATTGACGATCCAATTCATCTACTTGTTCATCTTTTCCCCTAAAGTAATGCAAATAACTCTCTATAGTATAGCTCAATTCCTTGTTATCCGGAGCTAGTGGTTGAGCCGAACTCAACCGGTGATCATCAAATTTACACAGCTGAACAAGCCAGTGAATTGCTGCAAGTAGACTAGGCCAAGAATGAGGCGTCCCAGGGGCGCGTAATGCAGATTTGTTCAATTTCACGGGGGAATTTAGGGATTTCAGTAGGGTTTGGAGATTATCTTCGAGTTTGTGCGACTCTGCTGATGAAAATCCGAAACGAGAGAGAATGAATTTTAGGGTTTCGGTGATATCTTTTGCAGAAGGGAGAGGATGTTTGAGAGTAAAAGGGAGAGAGTGGGAGGAAAGGTAAGCATTGATTGTACGCAGAGCAGAGAGTTGATAGGAGCGGTCAGAGATGGGGATAGCGGAGGACCGTGTGTTTACACCGGCAGATGAAGGCCGGCTACTGGCGAAGCTTGCGTCGGAATCACGGCCGCCGGTGGAGATAAATTGCCTTGGGTCGTTGATCGGAGTCGGAGGTGGATGGCGGCGATCCGGCACTACAGAGTTGGTACGACGTCGTCCGGCGCCTCTCATTGTGCAGTATACTGCTGCTTGATCTCGGTGGCTAGTGAAAGGTTTTTGTGTTCGTGCTTTAAAATTGGAAAATGAGAAATGGCGGCATTTCAATTAGAATTTCGGTTTAAAATTGTTTCTTAATTATGCTGTTTATAAATTTTAATCCTTAAATTTGTCAACTAAACATTTTGATTTTCGTCTATTATTTGGGAAACTTGAAGGAGTAGTTTATTTACCTAAAAAGGTTATTGCATGTTACCCTTTGCCAATGCTGTAATTTAATTTAATTAAGTACTCCCTTTGTTTATCTTTATTTATCCATTATATAATTTTGAGATGTCCAATAATATTTGTTCAGTTTATAAAATTAATGAACAATTTATCAAGTTATGCTTATTTTATCCTTATTATAAAATGTTATTTATTTTTCAATGTTTTGATGACTTATATTTAATGAGAGTGATTTGGTAAAATTACATCTATCATTTATTACTTTTTAATTTTTGTGTCAAATCAATAGGAGATAAATATTGTTGAACAGAGGAGTGGAAGGGTCATGTTGTTAAAGAAAGAAAGAAATCTTACCTAAAATTTCCACCTTCTATTCCATTTTAATAAATCATTTAAACTTAGATTAATTATAACACTTCGTATTCTCTCTCTATATAAATATATACTATGATGTGCCACTTTATCATCTAATAGATCTCTCCCTTTCCAATAACGTGATTAACTTTTCATTAATAAAGCTTCTCTTAATTAATCACAAATTGCAGATCATATAGAAAAGATATCAATATTAGTTAAAAATTTATTTACTTTTACCATAATAAGCATTTTTTAAGTGTTCACCATTTTAGTTTATAAGTTATTTAAAGTGGGCGAGTTAAATGAATTTGAGTTGAATTTGTCACTTTTAATTTGTTTCATTATAACAGTATAAAAAATATTTTAGAATTAACTAGTACTCTAAACTAGACACAGAATAAGCTGGGTAAATGTTCAATTTTGAGATCATACACAATTTAAACAAAAAAAAGGGAGAAAATTAAAGAGTTTATGGATCTTTGGTTAGTGGAACAAGAAATAATAATTCTTCAATAAGATAAAATGTGAAATTATTTTATTTTGTATTGATTATTGATTTCATTTTTTCACACATCATATTGATGTAGGGTGGATAAAATGGAGGTTCGTCTTTAGAATTTTGTGTGATAAAAAGATATATACCACTAAAACATTTAAAGATAAGTTTTATAAAATGATAATTATGTTAGATCGATTTTGATGTAGAAAACAAAGTATTGGCTAGTCAGAAACTCGCATGTTCAGAAGATGGAGTGACGAAAATAAAAATATGGAGATAAATATATGAGTATACTAAAAGAAATAAATATAAAAATGAAGATTTTTGAAATAGGGTGAAAGTAATCTTATTTTCTATCAAACATTGTCATTAACCAGTGAAAAGTTACATAAAATTCTAGTAACAATCGCACTCTTAAGAGATATGACGTAATCAAGTTATTTTAACACTTACAAGTATTAATAACTCATTTATAGTTGGAACTGATTTATAATCATATAAAAAGTAACTGCTACGATTTATCCTAATATAAGTATTAATAACTTTTTTTACGATTCGAATCAATATTTTATAATCATACATAAACAATTTCAATATTTCTCCATACTTTTTAAATAACTATGATGTTCATATCAATTTTCATTCACCTAAATTAATTTCATAAATGCCTTCCATCAGCAATAACTATCATATTAGGTAATTAACAATGTCCATTAAAATTAGAACAAATAGAAAGAAATCTAATCTACAATTTCTTTTCAAATTTCCAAAAAAATAAAAGATTTTAAATTTAAGTAATACAATTAGTAAAGAACAAAGGAGAAAGAGAAAGAAGAACCAAAAACAATAATGGCAAGAATGCAAAGTCAAAAATTACCCCACTTTGATGCCACCTTTTTTCAATTCCAAGCAAACACACACACACACTCACACTTTTTCCACACACAGTTGTCCCTTCCTCCCTCCATCTTCACTCTCTCCTAAAGCAAAGCAAAGTTGAAAAAGGGATTAGAGAGAAAGCAAAGAAGAGAGTGGTGGGTCTTAATACAGTACAAATTATTCTTCATCCTATTCTAATTCTTCTTCATCTTCACCAACAAAACAGAATGACCTCAAGATTAACCCAAAATGGTATCAATGGCACCCACCATCATCCTCAATATTACCCTCATCCCACTTCTTCTTCATCATCTAAAGCTTCATTTAAAGGTTGTTGTTGTTGTCTATTTCTACTATTTTCCTTCTTACTTCTCCTCATTCTCGCTGTCATACTTGTTATTGTACTTGCCGTTAAGCCTAAAAAACCCCAGTTCGATCTTCAACAAGTGGGTGTTCAATACGTTGGAATTACACCTAACCCAGCTACGATTGCCACTTCCTCCGCCTCTGTTTCACTCAATATTCGAATGGTTTTCACTGCTTTCAATGATAATAAGGTCGGGATCAAGTACGGTGAGTCCCGGTTCACGATCATGTACCGTGGGATTCCTCTGGGTCGGGGCTCCGTACCCGCGTTCTACCAACCAGCTCATAGTGTTAAGCGGGTTGAAACTACCATCGTTGTGGATCGGGTTAACTTGCTCCAAGCTGACGCAGCGGATTTGATTCGTGACGCCGCCTTGAATGACCGGGTCGAGTTACGGGTATTGGGTGATGTCGGAGCTAAGATTCGAATCCTTGGTTTTACTTCACCTGGTGTAGAGGTTAGTATTATACATTCTATTTTATTGCACTTTGTATTTGGTTTGTGAGTCGTTTTGAAGGTGAGTTATGCATGTATTAAATTGCGATAATAATTAAATAAACTTTTATACTATCATTGACAACATTAATTAAAAAGGTATAATAAGTAGTGCTAGTCAACCATATTATACAACGAGCTAGGACCAAATTAAACTACGAACTTGCGAAGACGACAATTTTTCATGCTCCTTTAGTTCATCTCGTTTTAAATGAGCCTATATTCCAGTGTTCAACATATTATACACTTTTTTATTATTATTACAACTATATTTATTATTACATATAAAGTAATACGTGCCTTCACACAATTTGAGTTGGTTCAATTAATTTCCTTCTTCTTCTTTTTTTCTTCCCTTTTTCGTGTGCAATAGTGTAGAATTTTTCAAATAATAATAATAATATGTACAATCGTAATTATTGTAAAAACGGAAAAGGCTCAAAAATACCCCTGAACTATCGGAAATAGCTCACATATACCCTTAAACTATATTCTGGCTCAAAAATACCCTTCCGTTAAAGTATTGGGTCACAAATACCCTTACTATTAACAGAGGTGTGTTAAGTGCCATGTGGACGCCACGTGAACGCCACATGGACGCCACGTCGATGCCACATAAGCACCAAACAACTCTCACCTCCACATAGACCCATACATCCTAAGTATTAATTTTGCCCTCATTTCTTTTGGGACATACAATTTGACCCACTCTCATTTCTCTAAAACTAGTATAATTTGACCCACTCCGCATCAATCTTTATTAGAAATTAAGATGTATAATTGAACATAAATTAATTTAAATATCTAAATACAATATTCTAATAAATTGAGGAAACTAACTACGTTAAGTCTTAGTTTTTCAACTTTTTTTTTTATTCGACACATTTACAACCTACTCATATCCAATCCATTAATCGTATACGATGAGGGCAAATTAATACTTAGGATGTATGGGTTTGGAGATTTATAGTGATGAAATCAGCTGGGTAAGTATTGTTTGCGTGTATGCCGCCGACTTTCGCGGCGTGAGGATGACGTATTGAGGTTTCTCGTCGGCGAAGAAGGATTCGACGGCGGATTGGTTAGTGAGATCGAGATCGGAATGTGTACGGAGGATGAGATTTGTGCAGCCTAGTTGGTGAAGTTTCCGAACCACGGCGGATCCGACGAGTCCACGGTGGCCGGCGACGAAGATCTTAGCGGAAGTATCTATCGGCATTTTTTGTGTGTGGACTCAGATTTCTGTGTGCAATGAGATATACAAATAAATGTGCATTAACAATATTTAGAAATGAGAGTGGGTCAAATTGTATGTCCCAAAAGAAATGAGGGCAAAATTAATACTTAGGATGTATGGGTCTATGTGGAGGTGAGAGTTGTTTGGTGCTTATGTGGCATCGACGTGGCGTCCATGTGGCGTTCACGTGGCGTCCACATGGCACTTAACACACCTCTGTTAATAGTAAGGGTATTTGTGACCCAATACTTTAACGGAAGGGTATTTTTGAGCCAGAATATAGTTTAAGGGTATATGTGAGCTATTTCCAATAGTTCAAGGGTATTTTTGAGCCTTTTCCGTACTATAAATGACATGACCTTATGAAAAAAAAAAAGAGGCTAGAAAATATTTTGTATAAATTGGAGGGATAATTGATTAGCGGTGGATGGTTTGCTCTAAGCTTTTGTCTAGATAGTAATACAAACAAATAATGGTGATAGGTAGAGGGACCCATTTTTGCCTGTCATGTCCAAGTTTATTAGGTCATTATTGTCTACACAAACTGCCATTTTATGTTTTTGTTTCTTCATTTTCTCACATAGTAGAAAACTGATTTGAAAATTTGCTCTCGCAAACAACAACATATTCAGTGTAATCATATAATTGGATTATGAGAAGCGTAGAATGTACGCAGATCATTCTCTCAACTTTGAGTACTATATTCTGCATTGATTAGGATGTTTGTCGTATTGGAATTCATCAGAGCTGTTCAATACCGTAGGAGTTGAGACAGTACAATTTCTCCACCTGCTATTAGAGTGTAGTTCATAAGGCACCTCCTTATATTGACAAAGACTTGGTCTTTTCCATTTTGTTTATTTTCTTTGACTACCGACGTTTCTTGGCAATATTCAATTTTAGACCAGCCATTGTTTTGCTTTTTTTATGACTGAAAAATTCGCATGGAGCAGACCTTTAGGATCAACAGCAACCTTTGAAACTCAGGAATATTAGGCACTCCCTTCTACTATTATTCTTCAATTAAATACTAGGCTTAGTTTCGCTTGGTGCTAAGCTCGTTCCAATAACCTAAGTCACAAGTCCCTCAAGTCTGGGGTTAGAACAACCATGTCTTGCTTTATAGACTCTTTCTTGCGTGAGCTCCTTTCTAAACTCTGTCCTGCTTTTAGTTAAATTAACACTCAATCCTTGGAGTTTTGAGGAGGGGACGGAGCTAGGAATTTTAACAAGGTTTTGTAACTGTAGCCTAAGTCACCTTTGTCATTACACTAGAAGCTCTCCTTATACTAAGTGGATTAAATAAGTTCATTACATGTAACTTTGCCTCTGATGCGAGTTTCCTAGTGAATATACTACCAAATAGGTAGAGGGACTCGGGAGGTAAGAATAAGAAGGCCAAGCGGCTCCTGATTATAAGAACTCTTTCCAGTGAGTTGTGGCTAGTGATTAGTCTCATGCGGTTGGGTATCTTAATACTTGAGCTAGTTTTTCACTTCATCCTTTGTGCTAGTTAGTCCTGTATCTCTAGTCGACTGTGGTGGAGGGGGCGTTTCTTTGACATTCCAGCCACTTTTACCATCGATTAATCCTAGAAGTCAAGTCCAGTGCATGATTTACAATGTCAATAGTTAGTACAAATTCACGTCATACAATCTCTGTCTATTGGCACAAAGAATTAGTCAGTGGGTATTCCACATCTACTGACTTGAGAAAATCTTGCATATACCCAAGTGGGTTTAAGTATACTGTACTTGGTCATGCTCCTCCCTTGCTACAATAATACAATGTGCACTATAGGCAAGAACTAGGGGAGAAGCTAGGTGGTGGCAAAGTTTCAATTGAATTCTCTTTGCCAGAAAACCATACTGCGCTAAAAGGACGGAAACCATTGTTGAATGAAGATTCTAGTGTAGTCGCAAAGGGGGTTCAAATGCTAGGTGTGGTTTTCTATGTATTCTTGGCTCCATAGCCAGTCGCTGCTAAGCCAAGACGATTGTCGATTGTTTTCCTTTAAAGAATAGTACTGTTAACTTTTAACTATACAAGTATTTTGTCAGCAGTGTGTGTGTGAATTTAACAGTACATGATGAATTTGAGCAGGTATCAGTGGATTGTGCAATAGTGATCAGTCCAAGGAAACAGGCTCTCACATATAAGCAATGTGGATTTGATGGTCTAAGTGTATGACACTGTTAACCCACAAGGAGCCACATTTGTTGGACTTGGTTAAACAAAGATAGAAAAAAAGCAAATTGCAAAAGTAGCATTTGGAAATTTATTTTAGTAAAAGCAAGATTCTATTGAGCCAACTAATTGTAGTGAAAAAAAAAGGCATTTAATTATTAACTGAATTTTCTTCTTTATATTTCTTTTTTGGAAAAAGTTTTGTTCCACGTTGTAAAGTTTTGGACAATATATTGTTATGCCACTCCTCAATGTCATTTGCTGGTATTATATTTTTAATGTGTTTATCTTTCGAACTCTAAAGGGAGAATCTGATTCTGTGACTTTATCAAATGAATTCTGAATCTTTTTCTTTTGTTGCAGCTTTTCACCCTAATTAGTGAAATATTCAAATCGAATAATTGTTGTAATAAAGCTATAATTGAGGAAATCTTTACAGTAGGAAGACTATATAAGTGATTAGTCGCTAGTTCTTTTTATTAAGACTCGAATATTAAATAATTAAAATTACTGTAGAAAGACTTGGGTTGTGTGTCTGCCTCAAATCAAATGTAATTGTGTGCTTTTGGAAAATGAATAAAAATTAGCTTTAATAATAATTATTATTATTAAAATTATTTTATCTTTATTAAAATTAAAACGTTTGAATCTTGTGTTGTTTGAATTAAAAAATAATAATAATTGATGGTGGTGATGACAACTGATAGTGATTGTGTGTCGACTGAAGATGGTGTGGACGGACGATGGTGATTGGATAGTGATTGATAATAGTGATTGACAGTGTTTGCCGATAGTTATTTAGTTGGTTAATGATGGTGATTATCGGTAGTGATTAGTTGATATGTGGTTAATGATAATGATCATAAATAGTGGTGACAACAGACTGTGGTTATTAGTGGTGATAGTGGTTATTGTGACGAATGATGGTTGTAGATTATAGGTAAAAAGTAGAGGAAGTAGTAGTGAACTGTCATTTTTATAGTAGTCCCTCTAATCTATAATAATTGAATTTTTAAGCGCATTTTGAATGATAAAAATAACTTAATCGTTTAATGTTCAACAGAGTTGTTGGAAAAAAAAAATCATTTTTATCTTTTATCCTTTATTCATATTTTTTAGGTGATAAGTTTAAAAGAGTTAATTACTCATATTTATGATTTTACTTTGAATTATTTCTACTTTCAAGAATAGAAGAATAACTAAAAAGACAAAATAGAAAATGGCATTCAGGAATGCGATATCCAAAAATGTGTACTAGTAAAAAGTATGAAGTTCGGAGCCAAAAGACGGTAAAATTGATCAAAATTTTCAAAAGGGCAAATAATTTGAGGCTCAAACGAAAAGGGCAACATTTTGATCCTCTTGGTTTCATCCTCAAATTATTTGCATTTTTGAAAAAATTTATCAATTTTATTGCCCTCTTAACACCAGACTCCAATAATAGGTACCAAAAAAATCTACTTTGTAATGGGACACTAAGATGTTTAACCCAAAATAATAATGACAGTCATCATTCTGGGATGATAATATTATCACAATTTTTTTTGGTCTTTTCAAATAGATACAACAATTAGACTTAAAATAGATACTCCCTCCGTTTAAAAAAAAAAGACCTCATTTTCTTTTTAGTCTGTTTAAAAAAGATGACCTCTTTCTTTTTTTGATAACATTTTAATTTCAACTTTCCACGTGGCATGTTTAAGGCCACAAGATTAAAGAGCAATTTTGTACATTTGACATAACTTTAATTTAGAACTGCAAGATTTAAAAATCTTCTTTATTTTCTTATACTTCGTGCCAAGTCGGGAGTACATTTTATAAAACAACTATTAAGTTTGTGGATTGATTTGTGGTACGTGCCTAAAACAACTCTTTTCCCATTTGCAAACGTTCCAAGTTTAAAAAGTCATCTACTGATTCATTGATCAATTGAACTGAGGCAGATAATGAAGGCTGATCAGCTCAACTTGATACTGTTTGCCTGTCCTACTTCCCTTACAAAAGGCTAGGATCACAAAAACTCGTAGAATAACAACGCCAGCGAAGATTGAAAACATAAGCCAAAAAATAGGAATAACTGGAACCGAATGAAGCCATCATGAGCAAGGAACAGAGGCAATGGATTTTGAACACAGCAACAAAACTTTTGCATTATATAAAAGTTCTCAACTAGAATCCTTAATGCAACAGAAAGCTTTAAAATGTCAAAAATTGTCTTCAGAAAAACCTCACGGAAATAAAAACACTAGTAGCAATAATAAATTGTTTAAAACTTATGCTCTACCAAAACAAAGTGAATGTTTAACCATTCAAGCCTTCAGGCGTCCATAGAATTTCTGCTTCTCTTGGGTGGTCTGGAAGCGACCATGTCCAAACTTTGAGGATGTGTCGATGAACTTCAGCTTAATCTCCTCAAGAGCAACACGAGAGGTCTGGTTGAGCAGGGATTGACGCAGGGTTACAACCCTCTTCTTAGGACCAACACAGCATCCCTTGATCAACAGGTAATCATCCTTCACCACACCATAATGGGCAAATCCACCAATAGGAGTAATCTCTTTCTCAGTCCTGTTTAACAATAACGAATATCTAAGCAACTACAAATTGAAAAAAGAGCAGTATGGTATAAGATTAAAAAGGCACAACCACCAGCCACGTAAAGGGTAAAGAAAGGAAGTGTAAGGACCTGTCAAACTCAGTTACTGCAGTGTGGGACTCCTGTCCAACCTTGCCAAGCTTGTAAACCTTCTTGTTCATCTCAGTACGGTGATGGTATCCATTTTGACCAGCACGAGCCACTGTGAATGAAACTCTAGCAGGATGCCAGGCACCAATACAAGCAACCTTACGTAGACCCCTGTGGGTTTTGCGAGGAAGACGTGTCACACCCCAACGAGTAACAACACCTTCATAACCCTTACCCTTGGTGACACCAATGATGTCAATCATCTCATCCTTCTGGAAAACAGCATCAACTGGAACCTGCTTCTCAAAGAAACCATATGCGAAGTCAACCTTCTGAGCAATTGATCCACCATTCACCTGGATCTCCATCAAATGGGCTTTCTTCTGTTTCAGACCCTTCATCTTCCTTATCTGCAGTTTATTAAAGGGAAAAGAAACATTAAATTGAGTCAAGTATCCTCTTTGTTAACAAAGAGACATTTCAAATATTTAAAATCATTTAATCGGGACTATGAAAGAGGTCTAACCAAAAAATGACTACAGATATAAACAAGTTAAGAGATAAACCATATTATCTTCTGAGCCAATATAGGGCAGAATTGGAAGTCTGATTTATATCAGACGTGCATTATTTAAAATCAAAGTTAAATTAAAAAACATGCATACTTAAAGCAGTAAGTGAGCACACCAAAAATATACTAGTTCCTAGGCACACTCAAAGAACTATAAATTGTTAAGCATGAGATGGGAATAATAGTACCTGAGTGTGAGCCAACACACGGATGACACAAGCATACTTCTTCAATTTCTCCAGCTGTGCCTGGATATCCTTTTTCCCCTCATCAGTTTCATATTTCTTGGAATATTTTAGGAAGGCCTTCTTCTTGGATTTGCACCAGTTCTTGTAGAACCTCCTCTTAATATCTTCACTGAGATGTTGAGCCCAGACTGTGTTCAGGCAACGAAGACCACGAGGGGTCTTCACATACCCGACAACACCAACGATCACCATTGGAGGTGTTTCAACAATGGTAACAGCTTCACATGTCTCTTTCTTGTGGAGTTCTGTAATCACCAGATGAATGTGAAAATTAGTACCAAATAATTCAAGCGAAGACATGATACTGATCGCCTAATACTAATAAAGATCTAGAAAGATATAGACTAAATCAAAAAAGAAATAGGTGAAAAGGGATAGTTTACTTGATCCAGGCTTTTCAACTTCTCTGACAATGTGAGTCATTCCAGCCTTGTACCCCAAGAAGGCAGTTAGCTTGCAAGGCTTGCTTGGGTCATCCTTTGGGAATGCCTTCACTGCAATAGTATTAAGAAAATTAAAATGAACATCCCTAACAAAATAAAAATGTGTTGAAATGAACAACTCAAACAAAATTAAAAATGTTTTTTGGTGTGATATAGAATGTGAAGAAAAGTTTTCATTTCATTGTATCTATATAAGTGGAATATAATTTAACTAGCTTACAAAATAAATCATTTTCTAGAATAAAGTTGAGAAAAAGAGAAAGGAATAGCATGAACAAGGTATGTGACAGAGATGAAATTTGACAAGGGTCCAAAAAAATTATTTCATAGTGATAACTGGTGTAGCTCATTAACAAATCAAAAGTTGAAAAAAATTCTGCATTTTCGGGGAATTTTTTTTAACAGTAATTACATTGAGACTTTTCTTAGCATCTGGTTGCAAAAAATCATTTTACTTATCTTGATAATTAATCAAAGATAACTAATCTACAAATGGTAAAGTGATGAACCATGGATGCTCATTAATATAGCTCATTAACACACACATCAAAATACAACTATTTTCTATAATTCTACAAGATAAAAGTCGTGATTTTAAAGAGGAACTTTATGATAACCTCAGTAGCATAAGGTTGCAAAAATTAACTTTATTAATATTGAGAATTAATCAAGGATAACTTATGCACAAATGGAATATGAATGACATCCTTATACATTAACCTATCAAGGATAATTAGCTTATTGCAATATTTACATCATCATTAAACAAAACTAAAGCTTAAATATCAGTAATCAATTTGTCAAGGCCAAAATAGACATTAGATTCATATATTTTTATACAAAAAGGAATGTAGTCGTACCCTTTCCCCTGTGTCTGGCAGCACGCTTCCTGGGGAGAAATCCCAAAGAACCGTGTCTTGGGTGCTCAAACTTCCTGTGAGACATCTTCCTCCTCCTTCAACCTGTAACCAATGAACACACATCAATCAGATTTAACCAATCACCAGTTACACTCCTCAATAAGCTAAAAACAACACCAGTAAACAACCACAAATACATAATAAACGCTTAGACGAAGTAAAAATGTAAATAACAATCCGTAGTCAAACAGCAGTGGTTTTCTCCAATTAATTTGTACTGTATAACAAATTCATTCTGAAAAAGAGTATGCATTACTGAAATTTTGAAAAAGCAATTACATATTTACATACTTGTTAGCTAATACAAAGAAACTAGTAAAGAAATGAGCATGCATATCAACAAAAAGCAAGCAAGAATGTGAGGAAGATGAATGGAGAAAATACCTGCAAGGGACGGCTACTGAGGAACTA